ATCGAAGTTTGCGGTTGTTTCGCACGGCCATCCGCGCCCGAAATGCTACAGGTATCGTATTCTGATAAATGGAAAGTCGACTGGCCACTACATACAGCGTAATAAATCCAAACGTCGCGTGATAGACGATCCTCGAATAAAGCCCTCTATAATTCCAGGTTATCTTATCTGCGACGTCTGTCGATACAGTGAACGGTGAACATTCAGAAAGATTTCTTGTATTTCAGTTTCTCTCACTGAGTAACTGAATTCAGTAAAACAGAAGAATAGAAGCAAATTGAATCTCGTACGAACAATTTTTAAACCCCGTCTTATGCAGTCAGCTGAATAAAAAAAGTATATCATTATATCGTTTTATATACATAAAAAAATGACAATGTATAATTTTTTCATTTGTAAAAGTCACGTTAAAGTCAAAGAAGAATTTATTTATATGAATGGCTAAGTAAAATTCAATCGTATAACGCAGTATCTCTAAGAGAAGTACAAAATGCACGCCGCTCATGTTTGCATACAGATTCTGTTGCTTCTGTTCGTCGAGCTAAGGATACGCGAAATCCTAACTAGAATGGATCTGAATCATCGAAGCGTGCCTTCGAACGCGACACGAGGATCATGGCTGAGATCAATCCGTAAATTCGCTCGCGTCTTCTACCGCGTTTTGCTCTTCGCATAATACGCTATCTTCTCGGATTTACAATTTTCATACCTGGTGAATACTTCAGAATAAAAATGATGTGACAAACATTCACGTGAAATTTTGCAGGTAAATCCATGTAATCTTTGTAAGTTATTTTACTTTAAATATATGTGAATATATACCTTTAAGAGTGGATCCCAAAATTACCTATTATAGTTGTAATTTTACATGTAAGAATTTGTTGTAATTGTTGTTATAATTTTATTATAATACATGTAATTTTTTTACAGTTTATATACAATTCTATTGATTAATACTCGTCGTTAATAATACTACTGCAATATTACACTATTATATACTATTAATGTATAATGAATGAAATATATGCTATTAATGAATAAAAAACTTACGAAATAAAATTGATATTTTCGGCTGGACTCACAAAGAATCTTCACAAAGAATCTAACAGGATCTTATTATAATCTTTCGATTCATCTGGCTCGACAACGAGTCTCTCGTGAGCTAACAGTCTCTCAGGATCCGTAAACAGCAGCGACATTTTTTCGATTCGACAAAAAGGGAGATATCATTCTTGTTTTCACGAGCGTGTCCGATTCGCCCACGCTTAACAAATGATCGCACTCAAAAACGAATCTTCTCTGTCTCTCCCTCTCTTTCTCTCCCCAAGACTTTACAGATAATTAACTGACATTCGTCGGGCGTGGTTATGTTCGCGGTTAGCTCGTATTTCTCTGCGACAGTCGGTGCATACATGTTTTTACGACTGATAAGGATCGCTTTTCCACCGAGACATCCTGCTTCGCGTATCTATCCTGGACAACGACTTCACCGACAGAGCGGATTACTAAATTCATTGGCTTCGTTTTGTATAGAGGACTTTGCCTCCACGTCGTCGACATGGTTTCTCTTTGGCTTCCACGCAATTAGGGTCAACTCGACGATTTGTCGGGAGCGATTTCTTTCAGAGAGCTCGCGACAGGAAAAAGGCAAACAAGCATATCTCGTGAAACTCGTAATTATTAGTTAATAGTTAATAATAATAATGCATTCTAAGTTCTATTACGTGTCATACAGATGATACTTCCTTATATATCAATTAAATAACATATTATTCCATATGCAATAAATTACGCCGATCTGAGATACCGCGATATTATCTTTCGATAAAAACATATTTTGCCACAAATTCATAAATAATATTGAATTAATTATAGAATTATATAGAAGCTGTTAAACATTTATGAGAGGCTGTTCGGAGCTGCATATTGGAAATGAAATTAATAACTACTTAGCAAAACGAGACAACCCGTTATCATGTTTCGCGTTTCTATCGGCATTAGAAATAAATTAAATTAAATGATATTAAGTAATCGAATCGAGGCAGGTACACTGTTAAATATCAGAGCAGCAATAGTAATTTAATCTCTTGAATTAAATATTATTCTGTTATTTTTAACTTCCATATATATATATCAAAATGTAAAGTAATTTATTTTTGTAATTAGTTTCAAAGTAAATGTTCATATTAACGTATGCACGTATAGTAATAATAAACTAAATTTGAATCAAAAATATGTTTTCTTGAATCAAATTGTTTAACTTCATTGTTTCAATTTAACGACGATATTGAGTAATGGCGACCTACAGCAACAATTAAAAATAACTCAAATTGGATGCATCATTTGGTATGAATTTAAGTATTAACAAAGGCTCACGAATGGTGATGGAATTGCGTCGTGTGTGGCATGCGTTTGCGCGATTGGAAATCCGTAAGTGCAATGCCGTCAATAAAATATGCATATACACTCGTAGCCTCGTGTAGGTGCCGCGCTACATCCCACGTGGCATACTCTACACGGACGTCTCGCGTGTATTAATCTGCATAAACTCATTCCTATGCAAACGAAGAGATTCGACGTTGAACTAGGATATCACGCGAAGCCTCCGTGGCTTACATCGCGGCTTAAACAAGCTCGTATACGTGCGCACGCGTGCGGACGCATGCCGTCCGCGTGCACAAACCACGGGGTGAGTGCATAAAATATATAGATGTACGTGTGCGTGCGTATCGTAAACGTACTGATCGTAAACGGAATCTCCTTCGTCACGTCGACGGCATAATAATTGCGAAATCTCTCGTTTTCCCCGTGGTAGACGACGCTGGCCGGCCATCCAAAAGGACTGCGACGACGAGAAAATGGCACCTGCCTGAAACGATCGCGCGATAATCTGTCCTCTCCGTAGTCCGCGAGATGAAAAGAAAACAATCGATGAATAATTTTGTGGCCGCCAGAATACTTACTGCGTCCAGGGGAATTGATTTCGACGGAGCGCATCGCGAGCGTTAAGTCCCTCATGAATACAATCAGGAGATAAAGCTTTTATGGCGACTCGATGTATAAACGATACCGTTTTCCGATAATTTCTAATTTAACACTTAGTGCTTAGGGAGATTAAATGTTTATGCGAGAAACGGGGTGTTTCGTCATGACGTTTTACTAATCAGTGGGTCTTATAGCGTATATTGTTACGCTTAATTAAATGTTGCGGCAATAATTATGCTCGTTGAGAAACTCGCTCTATCATTTGCTTAATCCTTCTGCTACTACAGTTTCTTTTGCCAATTACGCTAGAAAAAAAAAAATATTCTCCCACCATATTTCAACTCAAATAATCCTCACCGTATGTATATTAATTTCAGATATAAATTTTCATGAAATAGCGAAGAAAAGAAGATATTTATTTGCAAACTAAAGTATAAAATCGCATAATTTAATTATTAATAAGAAAAGATTAATTTCTGCGCAGAAAGAAAAATACTCGAACTCGTTTACCTCATAATAATATTCCATCGCACGATTGCAGAAAATATAAATTTATTAATATAATCATCATTGATACATGCTTGATATAATCATCATTGATACATGGAGGCCACAAGTATTATTATTGCTACTTTGAAGTCAAATAAGACCTACAATGAGTACGACGATCACGCAGCTGTGAAGGACTTTGCAAGTGAGAATGCTCTTATCGGTTCGTCTTACAAAAAAAGAGAGAGAGAAATGATGACACGACGCACGCCGTAGGACAGATTGTGCACCGTCTCGCGGCTATAAGCTGCGGTATGTATGTTTAATGCGGAACACGCGAGGCCTACGACCGAGCGACTTCTTACTATCGTTCTCGCACATTATTTATTCACCGTCGGCGTAATTACCAACGGATACTTCATCAAACTTGAGACACCTTTCTCAGAGATATCGAGAGAGAAAGAGAGAGAGAGAGACAGAGAGAGAGACAGAGAGAGAGAGAGAGCGAGAGAGAGAGGAGAGAGAGAGAGAGAGAGAGAGAGAGAGAGAGAGAGAGAGAGAGAGAGAGAG